CGAATTAACTAATAGTGCGAAATAATGCCAAGTCGATAGCCATTGAGGCTCTGAGGAGCTAAACAGCCTGGGACATCTAGTAAGATGTTTGGTTTGCAGCAACTAAGGTCCAGACACAAGTGGAGGCCTTAAAGGTTCGAGATTGGAACATATTCAATGAACAATAATGAATGAACCATGAAAACAAGGGAATGTTATACAAAAATAGAGTCCAAAATGCTTCGCTCCTATGCCTAAAATTACCAGTAATTCAAAACAGGTACCACTAACACCAATTGTGCACAAATGCTATCAGAGGCTTAAGGGGGAATAAGTCAATGAAAAATCACAAATAGGAAATGAGAATAATGAGATATCGGTTATAAACCAAAATTAACCAACTGTAGTCCCTGTTTAGCCATGATATCAAGCCAGTCAACGTCAAATGCATGGCCACGTCTCATATAGGCGTTTGTTTGATGCTGATATACTGTCTGCAATAACTGACGAGTAGTGGCAACATTACGGCCAACTCCCTCGTTTGCTTCGAAATTAGACAGTATATCGAGTGCTATCATCTTATGGGTAGGCGAAGTAGCGGCTACTCCAGCAATGAAGGTAGGGAATATGATAAATCGAAGATCGTACCTGCCCATGCTAGTGATCTCATTGGCAATGGAGAGGATAGCCGATATGCGTTGGTCAATGTCCAAGGCGGATATGGCACTGGTCTCCGCGGCTTGGTTGGGCCACATGCTGATATAGGAATATACCATGCAGCTATTGAAGAGTGTTGAGCACTAAATTGGAGGAGACATTAGTATGGTCTGTAGGTAGAAGCCCAGGTAGGCGAGAAGTATGAGAAGATAGAATTACAACAAAACAAAACACAGACGGGACTGTTCACATGAATGGAAGAGATGGTGGGGAAAGTGGAACGTACGTGTTGAAATACCTCCTTTGAACGGGGAGGCAATTGATGCACTTGTTGCTGGAATAAAGATACTCGGGGTGTTGTCCATAGCTGGATGAAAGATTGCTGAATATCAAAAAGTCGCTTCTCTTTGGCAGCGCGGCCCAGCAAAGTACAGCCGATTGACCCGTCTGGAAAAGTCTGGGATACGGTATCTCGTCGGCAGTCAGCAGCAAGGATACCAAGTCTGATAGCAAGGATAAAAGTATCTCGATTTAGACGAAGCATCACTGGGAGAGTGTGCTCTTCTCCGGGGAAGATCATGCTTTTTCCATCTTCACCGATAGGATATAGCTGTGACAGAGCGGCCGGTATCATATCGTGAGCTAGTAAGTTACGCACAAAGTCACCCGTGCCGGCTCCGGTGAACATTGCATATAGGTCGATCCAACAGATCCACCAAACGACAAAAGGAAATGGCTCTCTTTGCAGTATTGCACCTCTCATATAGCAAATTCGTATTAATCTCTGGATATGATGAGACCACAGATTTGAACCGCCTGGCTCTGCAGCAGCAATCTAAATATGAAATACATGTAAGTACATCGAAGTTGGCCAATGTGGAGAAAGATAGGGTGAGATATATGTACCTCATATATTAAGAGAAGAAAATGTGTCAAAAATACTCCATCTGACGATAGATCCTGATGACTTCTCATACTTGTTTGGAGAAACGGAAGTGTTTGTTGGTAGTGCTGCAGTGAATCTATACTCTTTGACGGATCCTGGCGAGATAAGCTCAAGGCAGAAACGGCCATCATTGCATGGAAAAGCTAATAAAAGAGCATTAGTTATCGGTGTTTGTACATAAGTTAAAAACTTTTTAGGAACTCACAGGTAGAAAGTTGGCTGCTTCCTTTTCAAAGATATCAGCCCCGGGCATGTTGATGTCACTAGCATGTGCATGGTTATGTCCAAGCCCCACTTGAACGAGATGCTTCCATACGACATTCCTGAAATGGCCCAGTAACTTTGCATCCTCCAAATTGCCGGTTGATCCAATGAATATCGGGTGTTTTGGTTTGTTTGCGTCCGTTAGGTGACTATCCTCATACTCTTCAGGCGATTTGGATCTGGAAGTTACAGTCAGGGGGGATGACCGCATTGATTTCCAGTAGCTTGTATTCAAAGCCATGGAGTCTTCAAACTTCGCCAATATCACGACGTTTGGGTCTGATGATTCTGTAGATGACCGAGGTCGAGACTTGGAAGTATTTCGTTTATGGGAAGCAGATTGGGAAGGCCTGACAGTCCTTTTTATTGGAGGGAGTTCGTCTTGGGAGTCTTCACTGTCGTCTGTGAGATTTGCGAAGCTATCCGGGTTCACCACGACATGATACGTTCCAGGACGATAACACTCCGCTTTCATTTCCCGCTCTATATCTGTAGTCAATGATGCAAAGGGAGGGAGAATGTCATCGCTAGTCGAGCTGGTAGTTGAGCCGGAGCTTCCTTCTGAAGGTGAGGAAGAAGATGCTTATCTGGAGTGTTAGCTGCGCAATATCAACTAGATAACAGAAGATCGAGCGTACAGTCCCAAACGGCATTTCCAGATATAGAAACATCTTGCATCCTTTCCATGACCTTCAACGTATCGTCTCGGAACGAAAGCCTTGGACTATAGTCACATTCATGGCCCAACCGAGTGCATTGCTATCAAATCGATTAGGACAAGTATAACAGCGAAAATAATTTTGCGAGGGTACTTACACCACATTTTGGATGGCCTTCGTCACATTTTACTAGATGGAACATTAGCAGTTGCGAGTGATAATATAAGTTGACGCAGCTCCTCACCTTTTCGCGCCTGTGGATGAAATAAAAAACCAGAAAAGTGAGCATTTCTGAGGTTTATTTACATAACGAAAGGGGTGAATAGGGTGATAGTTACCCTACAAGTCCTGAATTTTCAGATAATGATTAGACAAACTGGGTGAATTGCCATACGCAAATGCAACGGGGTTCAGATCCTGCTTACCAGCAGCCTGTTTTTGACCTTGGAGGTAAACGTACCCTTGTCGGCATTTTAAGCTTAGAGGGTTCCAGGTCCCATCCCCTGTCTAGACTTGACAACTTGGGCATGCCATATTTTGGAGCGATTGGTGGCAGTGACTGAGAATGTTTTGTTGAAGCCATACTAAACGTATTGTTTTCTCCTTCTATTGGAATGGACTCTCGGTTGGATTGACCGTAACTGCTGCCGGACTGTAAATGGATGTATTTAACTGGTGCAAAGGAGGCGTATGATTTTGAGCACTGTGAGTGAAAGTGGATTGGACTTGTGCATGTAACGGTAATTTCACTATATATAGCTGTCGCCCTGCCTGTGAGGTAGCCCCTTAACGGCTTAGTGGCACCGGTCGAATTGTTCAAAGACGGCAGTACCATGAAAAATCAGATACTGACCTGGTAAGTGCCATCGAGGGAATAAATTGCGTAAGAAGGCAAAAAAGGACAAAAAATGAGGATATGGATGTGGCGTTGCGACTCCTTCAAATATGTCAACTGTCAGAATGCAGAGTAGCATGAGTTTAGAACACTTCCGTGATAGCCATGATAATCACAAAAAAGTTCCACTAGCTGGTGTTGTAGCATAATTTGGATGTCCCCGGCGGCGTCCGTTGGTCTACGGAGGGAATGGTTGGACGTTTTGAGGTTGTAGTTTACAGGTTGACCTGTAGACCACGCGGACCATAATGACCTTAACCCACAAGCTAATCGCCAGCGAAACGCGCTTACGAGCTAAGCATCCGAATAAATAAGCAAGGTAGCTTTGAACCTGGGGTATTTTGCTCTCTGTAGTCGCGAGAGCCTTGCATACGCTGTGCCAAGCGGCAATCTCAGGACATAACTGCAGCAGTAACTAACTGAACAGAAGCGAACAGAGCCGATAGCTTTCCGAAATTTAGCCTTTACCAAGGAGAAATGCTTCTTCGCTCTGATTCTTTCTTGAGGTTCCGTCAGTAGGACCCAGTGATGGTAAAAGAAATGTCCGCTGGTTTGAATGAAAAGAATACGAGCAGCCAAGTGTGCTGCACTTCGCAAGCTCGTCCTAAAATTCATGCAAGGGCACCCAGACTCGCTCGCTACCATCATCAGGGCCTGGTCATGATTGACTGGAGGAAGGGGGGCTTTGTTCATGCTGGACTGCTACTGGGAAGCCCTTGCGTCCGTATGCCCGTAGAAGACAACCGCGCTAGTTTCCCTCCGTCTTGGAGAGGTGACACTTCACCACAGCCCTGTTTCGCTGATGCTCTGTATGGCTCCATCATTATGCGGGTAGTCACAGCTCTTGGGCTGCAGAGCCAGGGTAATTTTGGGCGAGCAAGGAGCAAATCCGATCTTTTTGCTCTCAAGCTCTCGTACGCACGATCGTCACGGCCAGGCCATGAGCCAGCTCCTTCGGCGCACCAGACAGCTGGTAGAAGGTTCTACAAACCGTGGAGATGCGTCGGGCTCCGGCTGGATATCCCGATGGATTAACCCAGTCGTCTGATCTGTTGTTTCACTTGGCAGATGGTAACCAAATGGTGGAATCTCGGACACTGCAGAGCAGAGGAGGAAGATGTCGCTGTCGCGGTCGTTGTTGTCGTTGGAACAACCAGAAACGGACATTTTTACTCAGCGGCGTCCCGTGATCTGCAGGAGGTTCCAATCTTGATGGTGATAACGTCAAGCAACAGTGACAGGTCGAGTTTTACGATATGACTTCTATGAAACCCTCAGGGGAATATTCCGTGTATGAGAACGGGTCTAGGAACAAGTGCTGGTTGTGTATATTTTTTTTTGGGTAGCAGACATGGCAACTCCGAGACACATGGCCATTCTGTAATACGGCGCTGTTTACTCCGGAGAACTCTTGCATGCAGCTCGTTAGGCAGCATTAACTACTCCTAAACAAGAGGAGAGCTGCACTACATTCGGCAGGAGGATAGTCTGCTGCCTTGGCCAGTTGATGAACAACTGTATCATGAATCAGTTATCAGTCATGCTGTGTTTTCGTGAGTTGATGATGCCCTGCCCCTAACACTCGATACACTGATACTAGTTACACCTGCTCAAGAATCTCGTGCCAGACAGCTTTAACTGATTCAGACCGCTCATTGGCCTTCCACTTCTCGATCGCACACTTCTGGGAGGTGTCGAGTGGCAAAGAACTCTTCTTCAAGATTTTGACGTACGCCAAAACTGCCTGGGCAAATTTGCTTCTCACACTCTCGATGGGTAGATCGATGTCCTGGAACAAAAACTCATGTTCTTTGAACAGAGTTGATGCAAGTTCCTTGTCTAGGAACATAGGTGTCGAACCACTATCCTCCTTCCTGCCACTGAGAAGGCGTTCATCGACGCGATTGAAAAGGTCCTTGACACAATCAAATAAAGTAGGGTATACGGATCTTCCGGAATGTGTAATTACCGGCTTGATTACGGATGACATACCAGCAAGATAATGACCGAGAACTATTGGATGAGGTTGACATGAGTTACTAGGTGTGATGCTTTATGCCTGGTGTATGGACTGGACGTACCTGACGATGAAATGTTGGGGTTTGCAACATTATACAGACACTCTATCCCTGCAATAAATGTTTTGTCTTCAATGCTACACCAGTAATAAGATTATTAGCAGGTATGAGTGTGACGGTCATACGCAGAAGGGACTTACTTTGGTACTCTGCTGTCTTTCGAATCGATATCCATCTTATCACCTTTTACTTCTTCGACCATCTCCTCAAAAACAGGGGATACTATAGCCAGGGTTTCTTTCGTCATATCAAGATCCTCTAAATTCCTAGCAAATTGCCCAAGCCCTTTTAGTCCATGAGGTCTGTAGTCAACATTCTTCCGTTTGGCCTCTCGGATGACAATGGTCTAAATTCCAGTCAATAAATGATCCTTCCGAGCATAGTCTGATGCATCTACTGACCTTCATGCGATCCTTGATGTCACTTTGCTCCTTCAAGAACTCCTTGGAAAGACTCGAAAACTTAACAAAGGCCTCCAGAACTTTGTCTTTCCCGTCCCAAGTTTTCCCTTCAAGTGCCTTCTCAAGGTGTGGCCAGAGAGATCTCGCCGTCGGAATATCCATATTCTTGTCAATGGAAAGGACTGCTTTGGCGACAGTAAGCGCAGATGCGTGCTTGATTGGCCATTGGGGGGAGTCCAACTTTGTTGAAACAAGGTCGAGTATTTCATCAAGGTACAATGAAATAACTCTAGAGCTGCTCACATTATCATTCCATGTCTTGGTAAAGAATTCCTTAACCTCATCTGTAGTATCGTGCATTCCGAGGAATATAAAGGGTAAGAAGGCCGCTGCAACTGCTTGAACTCTATCGTTCGCCAATTTGGACATGGAATTCATGATTTCACCAGCAACAATGCGGTGTGCTGTATCTTCCGATTCGAAATAGAGTGATTTTGCAAACTTGATGGTATCCAGGACATCTTCATTGCTAGCCAAGCGAGTAAGGTAACCGATAGTAGAACTGTAGGATGCGCTAACAGTTTCATTCCTGTCTAACACCAGTTTCCTCAAAATACGGATAAACCGAGCTGCGTAGGGCTTAAATAGTACTTGCTTAGAACTGAGAATTACTAAGACTCTGCTGCAGCCCACTTTCGACGGGAGGCCTATTGCAGAGCGTATCGAAGCCTCTAAAGCAGGAACCACTTCAGCCATACTCTCATCGTCAAGGGAATCGAGGAGATGAAGCTCGATACATTCCATCATGGGTGAGCTCCGGATAGCCGTTAACCTCATTTTGTCAATAGCCTGGCCCGTTAATCCATATTTATCAGCATTCAGGTGGACATAATTAACGGCCTGGGGCTCTATTGATGTGAGCGATGTGAGAAGTCGCTCCAAAATAAGAGCTGCAAAAGGCCTAATCAATGGTCCTGGCGCTTTCTTGACGATCTTCGTGATGGTCATGATTGAATATTTCTGGACCCCTTCGACGCTGGACTCAATACCTTCACGTCCAAGCAGGAATGGGATAATATGCTTTAGCATGAGTTTTGACGAGGTGTCACCACTCTCCATGGCACGTAAAACAATCTCACTAAGGGTTTGACATAATGACATTGCCGCCTGCCGTACGGTTGACTTGATATCATCAAGAACTTTGAACGATTTTGTGAGGATTTCGCTCAAGAACTTATCATACTTTTCGATTTGGCAACCCTGAAGTAAGGAGGCAATACCGGCACAGGCAGCCTGCCTCACCCGCCATTGTTTCCCATCCACGACACTTCGTAGGAGATCTTCCATAATTGCGTCAAAGTTGGCGTCAATGACTGCATTTGGATCTTTAACGAGGGCATTCCATATATCATTCATTGACCTTTGTACATTGGGATTCGGATCAAATCTGTATCTATATAATTTTGGGTATAGCTTTGGGTTTTGAGAAAGATATCCGTTTTCACTGGAGTCGGACAGCACATTGCTGAGACCAAAACGGCCGAAGGCGGCACGACTCGACCATATAGCGCTATTAGAAGCTAGTGACATGAAGCGATAGACCAGGCTCGGATCGCCGACTTCAAATGCAAGGCCCACAATGTCTTTATAGGTGGTAATTGAACCGTCACCAGTGGGTAGGGCTCCCGGCTCAAACAATTCCGTTTCTTCAGATATCTTCCCACCCCCCATGTTAGAGCTGTCAGCGGTGAAAGATCGCACAAGATCACGAACTAAGTCATCTTTGAGGTTTTGGCTTCCCAGTTCGTACACCAGTGATAAGCCTCTTGAAGACGACTCTTGAACGGTTTCATCCTTATCAGAAAGCAGCCAGATAAACGTTTGCTGGCATTTCCAGAGGCGGGACTGGATTTCCTCATTTCGACCACAATATTGTATAAGGCAGAGAAGCCATATGACTGACGCTTTTCTCAATGACGGTTTGGATGCTTTACAATCCTCCATGACCTTTTCAAGGATCTTAGAGAGCACGTGGGAGGGAATGTTCGAAGAAGGCTTCTCGACATCTACATCTAGAGAGGATGTTAGGGAAGTCGATTTCCAGCCTTCTGCCACTATACTAAGGGCTTCGCCGATGGCGAACTGTACTTCTATCACTTTCACTTCGTGTAGAGAATGAAGCAAACTGAGCAGCTGGTCTACCTTGGTAGATCCGGTATCGTCTTTTGGGATAATTAGAGACAAGCGTCCAAGAGCAGTTATCGCTGGTTCACTGTGCTTTTTAGCATCGGTGGAGATAGATTCGATAATCGCCTCCCACTTATCACCCTGGATGTTATCTAGAGTAATGGCAGATGAAAGGCTGAGCTGTCCAATGATATCATAAGCTGCTTTCCTAAGTGCAGAATCTCGGGAGCCTTTCAATATATCGAGTGCTGTATCTAAGCACTTTTGTGATTTTTCATGCAGCTCTTGAAGCTGAGCGCCGCGAATTCGTAGCCGGGAGAGCATGTATGCTTGGCCTAGTAGGGCTCCACGAGTCTTGTATACTGCAGTACCGATAGCGGTCTGCCAACTAGTAGCATGGGGGGACAAAGCCTCCCATGCTTGACCCCTATGTGCCTGAGGACAGCTGGGGTGGCTTATCAAGATGCCGAAGGCTTGAGCAGCCGTTTCTTGTTGAGGAGATGCTCCCTTGAGTAAGGTGTCGATTAGGGCCTGACTGTGTTTCACTAGAGGTTGAAGGAGTTTGTTGGAGGTGAGAGAGGCAATTTCAATGAAATGAGTGGCTGACCGGCCAGCGGATTGCCCAGAGTTTAAGAACAGCCCCTTTAGGCAAGCATTCAGGAGCAATGGAAGAACATCATCACATTCGGCAAGATATACCTTAATGGAAGCTCGAGCATCCTCGTCGTTCGAAAGAACATTGTCGAGACGCTGCTCCCAATTGTGCTCTATGTCCTGAATCGCATCGGTATTCACTAGAGCTTCACAAAGCAGTAAATTTCGAAGATATGTGATAGCAGTTTCGTAAACAATGGTGTACTTCTCAGAAGTGAAGATTGACCAAAGAGCTTGTCGGAGAACATCATTTTCTTCATTATCTTCCTCAAACAGATACTTCGCTAATTCCTTGAATCGCGGAAAGACATATCGTCTACCCTCAGTGACTGGAGCTGCTATGTTATCACATGGATTTAACATGCGATACCAGTAAGGATCGAGTCCTTTCCCCCCCTCTTCTGCAATTTCAAGTCCGCCATCTTGCCCGCCAGCAATGGCCAGTAGATCAATAGATCTGCCACAAATGTCATTGTATGGCATACAACGGTTGGAAAAACGGACAGCAGCAAACCGTGTGCTCCTCACAATGTTGAACCCGGTTTTTTCATCTCTAGATCCGGGTTCAATAGTGGCAAACCTAGTTAAAATAGGGCGAATCTGATCTATTGAGTTCTGATCCAAGTTTTTGGTTATAGAGTTAAGAACTCCACCAAGGGCCTCATCGATGCTGACAAAAATCTGAGGGCCAGAGGTGTCACAGCCTAGGGAAGTAAACATCCACTCTAGCAAGTCAATATCAATAGGGTTTTCGTTTTCTCTAGTTAGAGATGGATCGATCTTCGGGGCAAGCAGCCCTATAGACTCATAAGCGAGGCTCCTAGAGCTAAATTCGGCTGGTTTTAATGGCTGGCTGGTGGTTGGCCAGCCTTGACCCTCGACCATTTCCCTCAGGGCTTTGATTATGTTTGGCGCAACCAAATTTAAGTCTGAAGGTGCCCCCATCCTCGTCAACCAGGTGACAAAAGAAAATATTTGTTGTCGTAGTTTGGAGACTTCTAGCCCTCTGGCTCCACCAAAACTGTCGGAGGTAAGGGCATCATTAAGGATTCGAATGATATGCTGGGTTTTGGTAGTTGCCTGAACCGATTTACTCAGAAAGTGAAGAATTTTCATTTTCAATGCAGGGCGGGCAGGTAAAGCACCGCCAGCCTCTGTCGAGCCTAGATAAAGGGAGTATAGCAGATCAACTACATGATCAGACTCCAAATCTGGGCGAAATCGTTTCAGTATGTCATCTCCAATGTCCGAGACTCGTGCATTGGGATCCGCAGTTGCAATCAATGCAGGAATGAACCGGTCAGAGTCATCGAAAACACCGCTGCTTAGAAATTTTAAAGCGGCCACTTTTGTGTCTAGGATATTTAAGCCCCCGGGAGCTGTTGGATCCCAAGTTAGACCATCTGAAGACTGACGACTTAAAAATCTTGTTTCTGCTATAGATAAGCCTGGGCAAGCCTCTATTGTGGGTGTCAGAAGAAGTAATTTTCCAAACCAGGATGAGAGATATGTGCTGTCTCCCGGGAGAAGCTTCATGCTTTTTCCTAAGTCTAAATCATCACTGCTTCCCTTAGGTGGTAGCTTTATAAGGGGTAGTAGCTTCAGTATCAAGTTAAACAGAATAGAAGCTTGAGCTTCAGAACCATTGAACTGGGATATTCCATGAAGCAATGACGGTAAAAGAGTTAGACTTGTAGGGCCCATTCGATTAAGTCCATGTCGGATGTAGATCAGATCGAAGTGTCTGACAAGGGAATTATCGGTCTCCTTGAATTGCTTCAGTAAGGCCTCAGCCGGAAGAGCGATGGACTGAGATTGAACCCTGGTATTTATGTGCTGGCATAGAGACACAACCTTGTTTCGGACAGAGGCATTCTCAGATGCAAGTTTCAGTAGTAATGGTGCAAGGTATGTATGAAGAAGAGATTGTAGTTTTGAATCTGAGTCTGCAAGAGCAACACGTAGTTCCAACTTGGATACAAGTGAAAGCTCCCTCTCTTCTGTGCTTTCAACCATTGTTATCGAAGGTTATCGAGTGGCTGACCGAAAATTTGGTACTGTAGGAGCAGGATTGCCTCTTTTTTATAGGTTCAGGACTTGATATCAGTTTCTAACAATATGTTGTTTTTTACCAGGCAGATGTCACTATATTTCATCTTCAACTTTTCCAAGGCAACCAGAAGCTGGCGTGTTCTTGTAAGTTTGACGTTGGGTCAAGGTTAATCGGATTAGTAACTTGAATATTCACGCGTTTGGCGTCTAATAAGCGCCCTTATCGATTGTGGTATTACATAAGCGATAATCAAACTCTGTTCCTGGCGTCTTCTTTTTTTTTTTTTTTTTTTTATCTGAGCGAGGAGGATAAGAAAGTTGTCGAGCACGTTGTGAAGAGCCAGCGAGCTCGATACGTTCCTTATACCTTTGTTTCTCATATATTTTGATCTTATAATCCTAGATAACATGTCCTTAATCTTCACTGGCTAGTTACTCCTGATATTCATATGTTAATACTTTGACAACGCCTTTTCTTGTCCATTTTAGAACCTCTTCCATCGTACACCAAGTTGCTACACCTTACGAACGAAAAGATGGCGCATTCTTCCAAAGAATCATTAATACATCCTACTATTATTTCAAGCCCGCAGCTAAAACCAAAATCTGACAATGATTTCGTTAAATCTCTCTCGCATCTGGTCGCTGGAGCGTAAGTGAGGACCACTCTTCAACCCGCAATCTTCTTCACTAACCGCATACTTCTTCCATCCAGTACCGGAGGCGCCATTACTGCAGTTCTCACATCGCCACTTGATGTCCTGAGAACTCGATTACAATCCGACTTTTACCGCCCAGTTCTCTCATCAACCGCCAGCCCCAAAGTCATGCAACAGCCAGCCTTTCACGCGTCTCGTCCTATGCTAGGTCATATTCGTGAAACTTTCCAGATACTATTTTCGATATACCATGTTGAGGGCTGGCGTGGGCTATTCCGAGGACTTGGGCCGAACTTAACTGGTGTTGTACCAGCCAGTGCCATTAAGTACTACACTTATGGGAACGTCAAACGCATAATAGGCGAATCGCAGATTTTCGGGTCGAATAGCGAAAATGCTATGGGCTGTCACATAATTTCAGCTGTCACTGCAGGCCTAACCACCGGAACTCTCACAAGCCCGATTTGGGTGATCAAGACACGTCTTCAACTAGACAAGTCACAGTCAGCAAACAGTCCACAAGCTGCCCCGAGACGATACAAGAACAGTTTTGATTGCGCAAGATAGGTCTTGCGGCAAGAAGGTCCCAGAGGACTATACAGAGGACTCTCGGCAAGTTACTTGGGAAGCTTAGAAACAACATTCCATCTTGCACTCTATGAGCAGTTAAAAATGCTCATAGTGCGGATGAGGTCTAACCAGGATGAGCCTTGTGCTCGTACTACTGGGAACAAAACCCTTGGGGATCGATTGTCTGGCTTGTTGGGTATGGGTGGTGCCGCCGCACTTTCGAAATTCCTTTCTTCTATTATTGCATATCCACATGAGGTAAGTATCGATATAACCTTTTGTGAGACAAGACAGGAAGTCCAAGTTAACTCACAACTTTTTTTAGGTGATTCGGACGAGACTACGACAGGCCCCCATGGCCAATGGCCATGTAAAATATACTGGAGTAGTCCAATGCTTCCGACTCCTCTGCAGGGAAGAGGGTTTCAGGGCATTGTATGGTGGGTTGACGCCGCATCTACTTCGTTCTATCCCTTCTGCAGGCATCACACTTGGCGTATATGAGGCCGTCCTTGAAGGGTTCAAACTACTTTCCGAAGACTAAAACATGAGCGTTTTGTTTATGGTTAAGCCAGGCGTTTCCGATAATGGGGTTACTTTCGAACTGTATTATTATGAACATATATAATAGAATCAAGGCTATAGACGGGTAAGGTGTAAGATATAGAGACGGAGGCACACAATTACCCATCATTTATTGCCATTTCCATATTTATCAATGATTCCAGCCATCTAGATGTACAACAACCTATCCAGGGTTGTGCTTATATTATATATAGACATACGAAACCCATATTTTCAACTCATCACCCGTACGAAAAATAAACAAGGAGTTTTTAAGGCATTGGACCGTTCAGCTGTCTTGCTTCGGCTGCAGTAGCCCTTAGAACACGTCTGACATCATTCTCGACGTCACCCATTGTCTCCGCATCTGCAACTTCATTTGAGAGGGTGCCATTTCTCTTCTGGTTGCTAAACAAGCACTGCCAAACATCCGAGTCTCTAACTTTCTCCCCTTCGGCACCGGGCCCAGAGAACAGATTTCCTGGTGTTACGTCTTCTAATTCATGGGAATTTGCAGACTCAAGGGTATTCTCGTCCAGGTGCCGAAGGCTCATTAGAGGGTTATGGGAAGTACCGTTCGATTCTGCATGGCCATTTCCATCCAGATCCAGGTAGCTTTCGGATATAAAGCTGGAGGACATAGAATGTTCCCTTTTCTTCAGGTTCTCTTCGCGTCTACGTGCAATATGGGCTAGACGGCGAGCCACGGAGATTTGATAAATGGACTCCTCAACGGTGTTAGCAACCAGGTACATCCATACAGTTGTATCTTGATGCTGACCAATACGATGAACCCGAGCTATGGCTTGAAGTTCAATTGCAGTATTGATCAGTGGTTCGCAAAGAAAGACGTGGGTCGCGTTAACAAGATTAAGGCCGGATGCATGGGCTTTTGCATGTAGGAGAAAGCACTCGGTCTGTTCAGTTGTTAAAGACAAGATCGTAAGTTAGCAGGATAAAAAAACAGGGCACGTACAGTATGGTCCTCTTTGAACCGTTCGATACCAGACGGATCATCAATACTGGAATGACCAATTTTGAACCAATAGAAGACATGGCTTAGTGTGACCAAAAAGCTTTTATTCTGCGAAAAGACAATGGATTTAGCTCCTGGGTCATGTTGCCGCAGCCATAGCAAGTGCCGACAGAGAGTATCGATCTTTGTTCCATAAGATCTGGGAAGATCAATGTTCTGGATTTCTTCCAGCACTTTTGAGCTTATATCAGAATATATAGGGTTCTTTTGTGGGTTTCCTGGTTCGGAATTGGGTGCATTCTCTTCCTGAGCAACAATCTCTTGCGGCTTGTAGGTAATCTCGTGGAAGTCTCTCATCTTTAAACGGCTCTTGCAGACGGGGCAGCTTTGGCTTTGACGCCACCAATGCCGTATACAATCCTTACAGAATTTGTGACCACAAATCGTCAACACACCTATATACATTTGTGTTAGAAATCGTTTAGTTTGAGAATTTGACTTGAGTCAAGGGATAAGGAGTTAGCAGACAAACCAATATCGAATGTAGAATCACAGATGATGCAGACTCTTGTGTTTTCATCTGTACCAGATTCATCTCGGAGATGGAGAAGGTATCGGTGCTTTGCTTTCAAGGATGAGAGCTTGGAGTCAATTTCCTTTTCAGCCTCTAGCTTAGTGACAAAGTCTTCTTCATTCAAAGGTTTCCCCTTTCGGTCTTCGTCGTATGGTGCCACTGTATCTGAAATTTGTTGGAGCTGACGGTAATATTCAAGCCTCTTGTTCATAACACTTCTGAAAAGCTCCATTTGCTTTTCTAAGGGAGGAATGGCCTTTGATTGAACTGAAAACAACTTGCTCACTTCACGCAATATGTCCTTAACGATCAATTGCTCTGCACGGGCTCTGGAACTCCCTTGTATTTCTTGCCGTTCCAAAGACACAACTAAGTTGCGAAGTTCATTCACAAGTCCTCGCAATGAGAGCTGTCCACGAGGCAGTTTTAGCTCCTCACACTTATTTATGAGAGAAATGTATAATTCTGGAGCTGGGCCTTCACCGATTTTTGCCCTCTCCATGGCAACGCCGACTTCGTGCGTGATCAAGTTATTCACCTGGCCCGTAATTGCGGCAAAATGTCTTGCAAACATAACTCGAAGGCCTTCCATGTAAACGTACATTTCGTCTTGGTGTTTCGTCGATGATTCATACTCGTCACCTTTCAGTTCCGAGCCTTCTTCTTCGTCGACCAGCGCTTGTAAAAGCAGCTGTGCCATGTGGTCCAGCCACTTGTTGAATGTATCGGTATGGGGTTTCATGGCATCGCAGAAATCTTCAACTTGATCCAGCAAACGTCGACTTACTATGCCGACAGAGTGCAAGGCTGTAGACATTGTAGGAACATGGAATACTCCGTCCTTTTGCACCTTGACTTTGAGACGGTTGATTTGTCCATTGACCATTTGAATCGTATCTGCAAGCATTTCTCTTCTGATCAACTTCGCAACTTCGTACCCGTTTTCTTCCTGCTTTTCTAATTCGCGGAAACTATCAGAGTCAGGCTCAGTAATCTCAGGGTCCGTTTTAATCTGATAATAAGCGTTGGCCATGAAGAATTCACACATATGTTCAATTTCTAGAGCGGTTCGAAGCCGATGACGAAGCACTCCCAGCCTGTTGAGCAGTTCATTCTCGGATTCATCGTCCCCGCTACCTTCATCTTCTTCATTGTCATCGCCATTGACTTCGTTTTTTGTTACACTCTCCTTTGCAAGTTCTGCCCGCCTTTTGAGCTCTTCATCGAGTTGATCTCGACACCCCTTGACTATTAAGCCTGATCTCCTCGCTGCGTCTTTCCAAATCTCCAAGGACTCCCTTGGTCTCAGGGCATTTTCCATTATCTGGCCCCTTCGGATCTGGGATATGAGAAGTGTACGCTCCTCTGTCCGTATCTTGGTTTCATTTTGGTCAATCATAACCGCTAGCACATCAGCAACAGATCGAAGCGGTCCATTACTTCCAAGGGTTCTGGCGGTGGCAGTGTCAACTTTAGGCTGAAGACAGGCTTGCCTGAGTCTTGATAGCCACGACCTCATCTTAGCGATAACGGCCCGTGTCTGGGGCTGTATTAACTGCGCATCCCATTCGAATGACTTGGGAGCGCCAGATCTGTCCAAGTCACACTCTTCGCACATTTG